TTTTGTACGTGATGGAATTATAGATAATTTAATAGAATAATAAAAAATATTATGTATACAATATTATTTATTTAATGATATAATAACAATATTTAAATTAAAAATCATCTATATATATATTATTTTAAAACCTCAATTTGAAACATATTTTTAACTAAATATATTAAACTACTTTTTATTCAATTTCAATTTTAATTATATTTTTAACTAAATATATGTAAATACCAAATTAACCTTAATTAAAAATATATTTTATAAAATAATTTTTTAAAATTATAATTATAATGATTTTTTTTACACTAAACATATTTTAATAATGTAACACCACCACACTATCATGGATAAACATAACCACGATAATGAAAATACATCAAGGTAGTTTTGAAATGAAGTACATAAATAAGTGGGTTGTGAGACCACTATCAATTTTTTTTTGATTTTTTTTATTGTATCCTATTGGATATATTATGAAATTCACTTTGAGAAACGGGCATAGAAAAGATATAAATTTATTATTTACGCACGCACACACACTTAGCACAATATAATTACTGTCTTAACAAATCAAAAGTTTTCCTTTCTTTCTTTGAGAAACAAATAAAATGTTTGAAGGTTAAAAAAGAAAAAGGAGGCTTCATTTCACGGACATTCAAACCTCCATAGAAACAAAGAAAGTTCTGTTTTTTTTAAAAATTGGGCGACAACCAGACTCTCCATTTTTTCCCCATTCACTCAGAAGAAAAGAAGCCAAACACAAAAAAAAGAAGCTTTGTTTTATGGCTACCGCTAGTACTACTAAAGAGTCTAACAGCTCTGGTTCAGCATCAGAGGGAGGAGGAGCTGTTCATCGCAATGGAAGTAAAATTAAAGGACTTTTAACTCATGGAGGTCGTTATGTTCAATATAATGTTTATGGTAACTTGTTTGAGGTTTCTAGCAAGTATGTCCCTCCTATTAGACCTATTGGTCGTGGTGCTTATGGCATTGTTTGGTAAGCCTTTTCTATTTCTCCGTTTTTGGGTTTTTATTCTTTTTCTATTGTATATTTGATATTTTGATTGGTTCTTTTAGCTTGTATAGGAAATGAGTTTTGGAGGGTTTTGAGTTTTCTTTTGTTAATGGGTTCTTTTGTTTGTGATTTCTATGGCTAAAGAAGCTTTTTTTTTTTAATTAATTGAACTTTTTTTTTTTAATGAAAAAATACTTCTTTTATTCAATCTGTGCTTGTTGTTGCCTAATTTGATTACAAATTAGGGGTAAATTTGCTGAATATTTGTGTAGTCATCTATCTCATGCACACAACTGTTGCAGGTGTGTTATCGACCTCACTTTGGTTACTAGACTATTGATTTTTAAGGCTAGTATTTCTGTTTTCCATAAAGATCAAGACTTTCCATGGAGGAAGGAGAGGAAAATAGTACCCACAGAGGGACTTCTGAATAGCACCTAATGTATAATTTTGTGCGTTATAAAATGGTCTAGAGAGTATCTGTCGCAATTTTATGATGTTAGTTTCAGTTTGTTTTTCTGGGATCATGATGAATTGTGGGTAAGTTTCGCGTTTTATACCATGTAGGAGTTGCCAGTTCCTGTTACACTTGATGGTCAATATGCATTTTTCATATCCTTAATGCTTTGTTTCCGTATGTGCTATATTTTTCCTAGTTGGAACATAAGGTAAATATACCTTCTTGATCCTCCTCCGCTTGTTGGAAAGTTTTCTTCATGTCCATAAATCAGACCAGTTTATTGAGTGATGGGAAGAGTGGTTCTTAATGTACATACTCTTTTCAGTGCTGCTGTGAATTTGGAAACACATGAGGAAGTTGCTATAAAGAAGATTGGTAATGCATTTGACAACAGAATAGATGCCAAAAGAACACTGAGAGAGATTAAGCTCCTATGCCACATGGATCATGAAAATGTAAGCATGTAATTTACCTGTAAGTTTTGTGGTTTCCTTGCTTGTTTTGCGAGGATCGTTTCTTCCACAGTCAAATCCACAGATACTTATTGGTCACATATGCTTCATCACTTCTTTCTCTTTTACCTATATTAGTGTGTTCGCTAGTGGTTCTACATTCATCACTCTTCCATATGCCTTTGTTACTCAAGATGTGTTTAGATTTTCACTTCTTTCCTTTCTGCAGGTTATTGCTATGAGGGACATAATACTGCCACCCAAACTGGAGGCCTTCAATGATGTCTACATTGTTTATGAATTAATGGACACTGATCTCCATCAGATTATTCGTTCTGAACAATCCCTGAATGATGATCACTGTCGGGTTTGGCACCAAGAACAATGTTTTGGCTTTATATCTTGCAACTGTTTTAGTGTGAAACTTGATAGCTTATCTAAGTTCTTGCTTGTTGTTTTATTAGATTTTCTGATCACATAGTTCAAATTATAAAATTTTTAGTCTTTCTTTTGATAAAGATCACAGCAGCAAGAAAGGGAATAAATGGTACCATGATAATTATTAAAACTTGGGGATGCTATCCCACAACTTATTGCAGTATGAAGTGCTTGGCTTTGTTGCAAAGAAATTCAATGAGAACAATTACAAATTTAGAATCTTAAAGCAGCCATCATAACTTACAGTCTTTATAAATTAGGTTTCCACTTCCCTTTCTGGTGCTTCTTTGCACAAAGATAAATGAGTGCTTGCGTTGACTAAGCTAATGTATGTTAATGAGTTTCTTTTGATTCTGCCTGTTGCTTGGTGTATGGAAGGATAAAATAGCTAATGAACTCAAAGACATTGTTAGATGCTCCTTAGTCTAGAGTAATTAATAAGAATTCCAGCTTATTTAGATGTTATAGGCAAATATAGAGTACTTTTGATTTCTGAAGTTCAGAGAAAATAAAGCACCGTCTTCATCTAAAGTCTTTTACTGTGACAATACTAAGATTTGAAGAGTCATTTGTCAAGATGTTGAATTTGTACTGGAACATTACCTATGTCAAAAACTGGATTTTTTTTATCTTATTGAATTTTAGGGTAAATATGTTATGACATGCTCAAATAACATTGACTTTGACATTGCATGTGGGATTGATAGATTCTCAATGAAACCTTCTGCAGTACTTCTTGTATCAGCTATTACGAGGATTGAAATACGTACACTCAGCCAATGTTCTGCATCGTGATCTTAAGCCCAGCAATTTGCTTCTCAATTCAAATTGTGACCTTAAAATTGGAGACTTTGGGTTGGCAAGGACAACTTCTGAAACAGATTTCATGACTGAGTATGTGGTTACTCGTTGGTACAGAGCACCAGAGTTGCTCCTTAATTGTTCAGAGTACACTGCCGCAATTGATATTTGGTCTGTTGGTTGCATACTTGGTGAGATTATGACCAGGGAACCTTTATTTCCAGGGAAAGATTATGTTCATCAGCTGAGGCTTATCACAGAGGTATGCCTTTTGGGCCTGGCGTGTAGTTATTTTTAGCTGTGACATCCTTTACACCATTTTATGCACCCATATAGGTTTCATGGTTCAGTTGTACTAGAGTGAAGGCCAATCTGGTTTAATTCCCCTCTGCCCCTGCCACCTCCCCCCTCGCTATTTCTCTCTTCCAAGAATCCTACTTTGATTATAGCTTTCCATAATGTTTCCACTCTTTTGTTAGATTTATTAATAATGGATGTGTCAATTTAGATATGAAAATGAACATCAGCATTCCCTGTGCGTGGTGTCTTGCTAACTGTCATGAGCCCCAAGATGCTTTGATCTCATTGTCTGGAAAGAAAAACAGATGATTGGTTTTTTTAACATATTGATAGAGCCATCATGCCAAGCACCAAAGTCTGTAGTACTAAATTCTTATTCCAGAGAAACGGAATTGTGATGAAACTAAGGAAGAAAATTTGTTATTTATTTAGTGTCACTACTAACACCATCAATTCGTTCCCTTTATTTTTGTCTTAAGTTAATAGGTTCCCCTGACGATGCTAGTCTTGGCTTTTTGCGAAGTAATAATGCCCGAAGATATGTTAGACAGCTTCCGAAATATGAAAAGAAAATTTTCTCAGCTACGTTTCCCAATATGTCTCCTGGAGCTGTTGATCTACTCGAGAAAATGCTTGTGTTTGATCCCGGTAATCGCATCACTGGTATGAAGAAAGAGTTCAAATTTTACTTTCAACATTTTTATCACTGGATTGTAGCTCATGTACTTTTTGTTTTTTACTTGCACTAAGATAGTTATGCTTGTCCATGGTTTGCAGTTGATGAGGCCCTTTGTCACCAATATTTGTCATCTCTTCATGATATCAATGATGAGCCTGTCTGCCCCAGGCCTTTTCATTTTGATTTTGAGCAACCATCATGTACCGAAGAGCACATAAAAGAGCTCATCTGGAGGGAATCGATGAAGTTCAATCCAGATCCATCCTGTTAGGAGAAAAGGAATGTGCTGCTGAAAGATGTTGGGAAATGGAATAGCTTCTTCTTCAGAATGTCATCCATTGTCATTTCCTGGAGAATATGAACACGACATTCATAGAACCTATAAGCTGAAGTCATTTAATGATCAAGAAATAGAGCATAACCTCTGACAAAATTGGTTGCTTGTATAAAATTTTAGCGCCTGAAGTGAGTTGCATTGTAAAAAGTAGAGTTAATTTTTGCGAGTACCAGAATTTGGGAATTTGATCTAAGAGCAACGAAAATATCATATATGTTGTATTGATGATGATGGATGTAATATATATTTTTTCTCCTCAACAAGTCTCAAATAAAATTGAGAAACTAATAAAAAGTGCTTGTTTTGCATTCTAATTTTGCTATGTTTTGTAAACCATGGCCCATGCTGATGTTTGCGAGTTTCTTGGTGAACTCGGGTGTTGAAAACTTGCTGCAGAGCAAGCAGGAGTCAAATACTTGCTGCAGAGCAAGATGGAGTCAAATACTTGGAAGTTTTTAGATGTTTGAACTTCTCTTAGGATTGGTACTCTGTTCTTTTCTAGTGAATGATTTCAACAGACCTGCTAAAGTAAAATAAATTCATAAAGGGCCGCTATTTTTATGCTATTATTATACGTAGTCCATGGAATTCTCCTATCAATACTGTTTTTGTTCCTTTCACCACAAGGTAGATTTACTTGTGTAGCCCGACAGTTTCCATGGATCCTTCATTAAATCATCTCAAAACCCAGATTTTTGATTGATATATGTAAGTCACGCTATATTACCGTTAGAACAAACAGAATACATGTTCCAAGGTGCAAATACTTCTCATGTCACCAATGATGCTTCCTAAAGAAAGAGCACGTCTGAACCTCCATATTCTCAACTGGCAGGCTATCTTCTGGAAAATCGCATCCTCCAATCTTACCCGGTCCCTGGTCTGCTAACAGAGCACAAGGTTTTGGATTCACTTCACTTGTAATCCCTGCAACATCAGTGCAGTTCCACTGAAGTTTTTTTGAATTTTGTGCGAGTCCAATGGTCACATTAGATATGCAGATTCCAGTAAAGGGATCACCAGCAATGCCCTCTAATTTAGCTGCCATTGTCACATTTTCGGCAACCACGTCTCGGTAATTAATATTCTGAATCACAGGAATTGCATTGGGGTCATAGTTGTCGTCAGGATGAGAACCATAATTTCCTGTCATCCAAAATACCCATTTCATTGTTTTCAATGTCATCCCTCTCACATATATGTCTTTTACGTAACCTCCTCTTCCTACTGCAGTTTTGATCCTAACACCTGATTCTGAATCAATAGCTGTGATGTCTTCTGCCCTGACATCCTCAATCCCCCCAGACATCTCACTCCCCAGTGCAATCACTGCACTGGTGGGCGAAATGCATGTCAGCCTTCTGATCACAAGCTGCTTTGTAGGCATCCCGAAAGAAATACCATACTCATCCCAACCACTCTTAACAGCCACACAATCATCTCCGGAGACAACATAACAGTCCTCAATTCTGGTATTTGTGCAAGAATCTGAAGAGTTACAAAACGAATAGTTCAACATCAGATACATGTTCAAAACTTTTCAGAATAAGTCATTCCTGGCAATTTTTTCTGCTTTGTAAAACAGTGCAAGAATGAAAAAACTATTTTTGGCCTATAGAAGAAAATTCAATTTCTACATGATTACCTGGATTGATCCCATCAGTATTTGGAGACCTCACTGGTGCAAGAATTGTCAAGCCTTGAACCACAACATTGCTGCATTCCATTTTAATTTATCAACGCACGTTCATCAAACAGAATATTTAAGGGCATTCATCAACACTAAAGAAGCAAGGAGCAATAGATGCAACAATTAGGGACAAGAAGGCATACCTGCAATAAACAGGATGGACATTCCATGATGGGGAATTGATCAATGTAAGATTGGATATCTGAATGTTAGTAGAGAACATGATTTCTATCAGGTAAGGCCTGGTGTAATTCAGCTCTCCGGCACGGAATTTTGTCCACCAGAGTTCACCCTGACCATCAATAGTGCCGTTGGCTCCTGAAAGTCGAATGTGTTCATAGTTAAAAAAGCGAAGGGGTTTTTTTTTTAAAAGAAATTACTAGTATTATACCTGTTACTATAACATCTGTGAGGTTGTTTCCAAAAATGAGACTGCTATACCTTGCACCATCTGCATCTCTTCCTCTACCATAGGATGGTAGGGGCTCTATCAGTGGATATTCACTTTCATCCTGATAAAATGTTCAAAATCCAGGAAATATGAAAAACATAATTCATCATTACTGTATTAAAATCAACTTATCATTATTGTATAAACATGCAAGCACTAGCTTTGACATCAAAAGAGTTTTGCAAGTTCACTTTAAAACTGGAAATAGGATAAAAGTAGTTTGTGTCCAATCTCAGAGTTTGATTTATGTCCCACCTCTCCAACTATCATGTTTCATAATTATTTGCTCACTTAAACAAATGTCGTGGATCCAAATCATATGGACTAGCAGTTGAACTGTTAAGCTTGTGAAGCGGATCATTTTCGATTAGGAACTTTTCAATTTAGGCCCACAATAAGTTTCTACCGGTGGTTGCCAGGAAGTTGGTCCCATTTATCAAGGTGAACTAATTTCAACCAAAATTGTTGTGGTGTTGAAACCAAGAACATAGAATGCTGTGCAGACCCACTTTTTTTGTTCTTATGAAAATAACATCGTGATGGAGAACGAATTAGTAATTAAAATAATTTTCAAAACAAGAGAAAAGAAAAAAGAAGTCTTAAAGGCCATGGAAGGAAACAGGACAGCAACTTCGTGTTCTTTAAACAAACTTATATGGGCTTATTTTGATTTAATCAGCAAGAGGAAAATAAGTAAATGGAAGAAAGGAAAGAAGAAATCAGCAAGTACAATTTACATAAAGAAAAGTCATTGAAAACCTTGATAGATTCTAACCTGAGAAGCTAGAAGGACAGCATCTTTGTCAAGATAAAGAGTGAAATAACTGGTAAGATTGAAACTTCCAGTCAACCATCTTCCTGGAGGAACATAGAGTATGGATCCACCTTTTGATGAGAACTGGCTCAAATGATCAATTGCAGCTTGAAAAGCCTTTGTGTTTGCAGTTTTTCCATCTCCAACAGCTCCAAAATCTGATACTGAAGCACTATGAGCCCTGCAACTTGAAGCTGCATTCTCAAAATAATCCCACTTCACAGATTTTCTGCTCTCAACACCAACTGTATAAAAAAGTACCAAAACACCAAGTAGTCCTCTGAAATCAATCACCTGTTTATTTCATTCAAGAACACGAAAGCCTTGTCAGAAAAATCATGCATGAAAATGGTTTTTCCCCCCTTGCTCTTTCACTATAAGCAGAGCGAAGAATATATGAATGGCATCTTAGAACATAATCATAAGAAAGGCGAGGCCTTGAGAGTCGAGAGCATGCTTTAAAATGTGATGATGCTTAATTTCATTGATTCGATGACGTTCAAAATGTTTTACCTTAGTTCTTCTTGCTCTTGTCCACAACTCCATTGGTGTTGAAAACAAATAGGTGCTTTGGTTTATCACTGCAGGTGCAGATGGGCTATGTCTATATATAATGTGACCTATGGACTTTGTCCTTGTACAGTTATTTTTCTGTGTGCGAGAAGGTGGATCAAATATAAAAAATTACAATTATAGTCCTGGTCAGATTGCTTAAAGTTCAAAGTTTCATTTTCTTCCTGTATGAGAGAAAACTACACGTCTAAGAAAGAAAATTTGTCAATTTTCTTAAACTGGAAAGGACATGTAACCACGGGAAGGAAGGCAAGTCCCCCCTTGAACATGAACGTAATCTGGTCTTAATCTAAACAACAGGAGCCTAGCTAGTGGTTAAGTATTGACTATTTCTTCTTTATTAGGGAATAGATGGAGGTGGGCAATGAGCCACCACCAAGACATTTATTTGTCACTGTGCGTTGACTTTGGCGGCATGCAAAATATTTGATAACTCAAAAGTTTTAGTTTCATAATTTTTTTCTTAAAAAAAATTAAATACCTATCTATTTAAAAAGAAAAAAAATATTTGATAACATTGTTTACAAAGAAAAAACGTGTCCCTTGCGGCACATTTGACGAAATCCGACTGGTATTCATACAAGAATTAGGATGCTAAAAGATAAGATACCATGCGTGCACTATAGAAAGCACATCCACTACCATTATATACCTTCTACTTACGGAATTCTCCACTCTCTCTTTACCCCCATCTCGGCCGTTCAAACTCCAAGTTGATTTGAGCCTAAAAATGGCTGAATTCACCTAACTGCGTTTTGTGCATATGGGTGCACATGGCTCGAACCTTAGTCTATGACTGGAATTTTTTTCAAGCTCCTCGCCCCAACTTTTTTTCCCTGTAGCTTTTTATGGTGGCACATCCAAGTAGCTAGCTTGCACATCTATCATAGAGCAAGGGCCGCCGATCAAAGCCCGAAACGATGTCAACTATTAAGCGAGTGGTGTATCGATACACAGGAGAGCCACACACAGAGGCGACCACACGAACTTGGAAAAGGACATCATTTCCTTGGACATGATTTGCCCCACGCACATCCATACCGTTTGGCAGAACTTGCGTGTCATAGCCAACCCGTGACAGTGTTTGTCATTGCGTTTCACGGGCAAATGTTAAGCACTAGTGGAGGAAAACCCCACCTGATACCATCAATATTATTTTTTTATTGACAGTACAAGATAATCGCATCTTGAATTACGCAAAGTGATGAATAGCATAAGAGTTTGCTTCCATTAAGCCCTTTTCAATAACCATATGGGCATATACTACAAACAAATGATTCCCTTATGGGGTGGCAATGTATAATAGCATGTACCTGTTACGTACAGGCATCTTTGAAACAGTTTTGGAACAATTAAGAGGATAACAGCGGTAATTTTTTAAAATATTTTTTATTTAAAAATAAATTAACTTTTTGAAAATTTAATTTTAACATTAGCCTGTAAAAACGATATGGATATATAAAAAATTAATTGGAAGTAAACAAAATAAAAATAATTAATTTTTCTAAAATAATTTTAAAAATCAGCTGTACAAGGAGCATACACAGACGGTGACCCAAAGAAGCATTTCAAAACGGAACTTTCAGTCAACCAACAAACAAAATGACAATTCAACTGTGGTTCGTATTTGGTGTGGAAGTTAGGTCGATTTCCATGTGCTATGAGTCCCATTTCTATTTTCTTCTCTTTTGCAACTGCTTCCACTTTCTGGTCCATCGATGTTTCATATGCACAAAGAAAATTGATATATTTTATGGAAAAATCAAGGCGCGTTTTATGGTGGAGACCATATCCACGAATTCTGTAGGTATATCCGGCAGTGATTATATTTTTGGCCCTGCCTAGATACCACCATTACACGTTCACCTTTCTATCAAACCACAAGTATAACTGGTAGAGTAATTAGCAAAACAACTGAAAGATACTAGGTGGGTCTCACTGTTTATATGACGAGTGAATCAATTTTATTTTTTAGACTGTTTATATGAAAAAAAAGGCTTGAAATTACAGTTAAAATACAAAATTTAAAGATAAAGGATTAACATGTAAAACACAAAGAAAATATATAAATAACCATATAATAGCGATAAAACACAGAGAAAAGTGAAACTCGTTTGAAAATGGTGGGGAGAGAAAATGGTTATTTGGTCTACTTAATTTTAGGTGAAGAAAATCATTGTTTTTAGTGTCGACGGGTTCCATAATTCGACGATGAGATTTTGATGGTGGTAGTTTTTTTTTCTTTTTTAAATATCCTTGAGAAAGGAGATTTTAATCATGTTTGAAAGGTGCATGTGCTTTCCATGTTTGTACTTTATTCTTTTTAAGGACTAATGCTTATTTTGTTATAATAAAAAGAGATTCATCTGACTACCTTACACATAGGAAACTATGGCCTTCTGTTGTTTGGTTGGAATTGGATGCCAACATACCTTATTAATATTGATGATGACACTTGTCATAACTAATTTTTAGGCCCCTCGTATAAAAAGTAATAAAATATAAAAAAATCAAAAAAATATTATTATAAACAGTGAAAAAAAGGATGTCAGCACCCAAAAAATAAGTAAAAATTAGTTGAGGAGGTTTAAAAATATAAAGATTAAAATTTGACAATATTTTATTGATTGATGACAGTCTTGTTGATAAAGAAAATTCAATTTGAGCAAGAAAAGTCCAAAATCATATGTTTATGGACTCAATTAAATTTTATTAAAGGTTTAATTGTATTTATGGAGAGTTTGATTGCAAGAAAAATTGATTTTAGAGTCAATTTAGGCTTTAATTAAAAGAAATTAAAATTTTAGGGTCAAATTATAATTTTTTGAAGTTAATTTGATCAAATCAGGGGCTTAATTATATAAATATTGAAGTTTGATAGCCAATTAGGGACTTAATTGAAGAAATCCAAAACCAAGGACCAAAATGAAAAAGGCGCGTAAGTAAAGGGGCTATAATTAAAACCGGTTAGGGGTCTAATTGAAGAAATTAGAAGTTTATTGTTAAATTGAGGGTCAAATTGCATAATATCAAGACCAAGGATCAAAGTGAAAAAGACGACAAACTTCAGGGTCGCTGTTAGATTTTTGGTAGGGATGCAATTGCATTGATTTTAAATTAAAATTGCAATTTATGACTTAATTGAGCAAATTATAAATTAAGGACCAAAGTAAAATTAAAATGTTTTTTTGGCCTTTTCATTTAAATGAAACGGCATGTTTGGATCAAAATGACACCATTTTATATATTGTTTAAAAAAAAAACCAAAATGATGTCGTTTTGAACAACACCATACGTCTTGTTCTTCTTAAACACACAGAGAAATAGGGGAAACGAGCTGCATTCCCCTGTTTTCACAATCTTTTCCATCGCCATTTCTCCCTTTAAAAGAAGTTGTCACCCCAGCCACATCCCCCCCTGTTTTTGCCTATAAAAACAGGGGGGAAGAGAAAAGAGAGACAACCGAGGAGAAAAAAAGAGAGGGATGAGAGAGAGACAGAGAACACAAGAGAGTAGAGAAGGTCGGGGAGATCGAAAGAAAAAAACCAAAAGAGAAAGAAAAAGAAAAGAAGAAAAAAATAGATTGGGGAGATCGAAAGAAAAAAACCAAAAGAAAAAGAAAAAGAAAAGAAGAAAAAAATAGAAAACAGAGAGAGATAGGGAAAAGAGAGGAAGAATCGGTGAAAATCATCATCACTGGTATCGTCTCTGCCAGCTCCAGCCACCGCAGATGACATCAACCATCGCCCTTTACGCCAAGTACTCTTCTCTTCTTCCCTCCTCTGTTTTTTTGTTTTCAGCCATTTGCATGTAGAACAGGAGCAATTCACGTTCTGCAGCAAGATAAAATAATTAACCGGTTAATGTTCCGTCCAATGATAATATAATGGGCCAGACTTGGCCTAATTTTCATATTGGGTTGGTGCCAGCCCCTTTTGTTTTGGGCCGGTGTTGGCCCTTTTCATTTTGTTTTAGATTGGTACTGGTCCGTTTCATTTTGTTTTAGGCCGGTGCTGGCCCGTTTTATTTTATGTTGGGTCAAAGCCGGCCTGTTTTATTTTATGTTAGGCTGGTGCTGGCCCATTTTGTTGAATGATGGGCTGGTGCTGGCCCATTTCAAATAAATACACCATAAAAATACCAACACAATATTAAAATATCATGTTTTCGTCAAAACTTTCAGAAATACAAAAAAATTTAAAAAAATATATATTTTTATGTATACAACCATGTCATTAAAATATATATATATTTTTATGTATACAACCATGTCTCAAAGCTAAAAAATATTATATTATATTTTTCATACATCAAAAATAATATTTTAGCAAATATTTTAGCTTTAATAACCAGTTTATTAAAGTCAAGAGAACATTAGTTAAAATTTCAAAAATAACAAAAATTTTATTTTGTTTTTCGCTTAGTATCCGGGGTATGACATTACACATAATACGTATTTCAGATATTTAATTTATTTTTTGGACAATAGAAAGGTTAAGTTTAACCGCATTAAGATAAGAACCTTTTTATTGAGGAGGGCTTGTCTTAAATCTTAAATATACCAATAATAAAAAAATTACAACATGATTTTAGATTTTAATAGACAAAACAATGTAGCCTACCTTAGGTAGTGCGTATTTGGGGTGCTAATATCTTCCCTTTACGTACCCGATCTCTGAAACTAGTTAGGGTTCCTGGTAGTACCCAATCTCTGAAACTAGTTAGGGTTCCTGGTAACCAGAATATTAGGTGGCGACTCCCATTCAAATTTTTTACTGATAAAAGACACAAGAATTCCTTATCTCTTCATATTGTTCCAGAAATACACCATATTCCATCTTTTTATGGAGAGTGGACGATCGTCGTGACGCCGCACATGTGCTACAACACTTTTTAAGTTTACACCTTTTATAATCTAGGTATAAAAAAAGAAGTTAGATGAATAGTTAAGTTGGTAGATGAAAGATGCATATGTGGTAAATGATAAAGTTCTTATCGACCTTGTTCACATGTTCTTGCATGTTGTGCAGAAAAACATCTTGATATTAGCCTGTATGTTGACTAACATTATAATGTTAAGATGTATAATAACATACATGACACTCCATTTCATCCTTTACCTAATAAATTAGAGTAGAGTGAATATATATTAGCTAGTCCACATGGATGCCCAAACCCTTCAAGATGGAAAATCGAATAAAGTTGACAAGAATCATCTCGATTGATAATAAGATGGAAATAAGAGAGGGACATTCTCAATATAAATGTGGCATATATGGTTTGACAAGGCATAACAAAAAAACTTGTGAAAATAACAACGCATGTGACAAGATACTCAATTATATTGTTATTTATTATTTGTTTGTAATGTAATTGTTTCTAATATTTATTTTTTAATTATGAATTATATTTTTAATTTTGTAGATACACTTAGTTAGGATGTCATGTACATGAGGTGCGTTTTTTTCATCTACACGTAGGGTTTACCAGTACGTGGATCCTTGTTCGGTTGATCCTTATATTCTATAGTTATAGAAGTTATATAGATCACAAACCATATGGAATGAGATTGTATGTTTATTTTCATATAACAAAAATGATTAATTATTTTGCTAATTAACATACAATTCATGTTAATACATTGAAATTTTTCTTTTATTATGCAGGATTTGAGTAAGATGCATTGTAGATTCTATAAGTTGATATTATTTCTAGATCCTGTGATCTCATATGTCATACAAATGAGTTTTTATTATATTACATGTATTTAGCACATAGATAAATTATGACTTGCTCATGACACTTATTAAGAGATGGAGATGGGGGACTTATATATTCCACCTTTATGTAGAGGAGATAATGCCTACATTATAGAACATTGCTATTCTGTTTGGCTTGTCTATATATAGGTGAGCACTTACTCTTGTAGGTATCCAGAATAAGATCTACATGAGAGTGTATTCAGAAAATTACCTCCTCTTGAAATGTTTAATAGGAACGCTTTATATATAAGATGGATCTGAGAATTTTTTTTAAAATTACATGATGATTATAATGATAAGATCTTATTAAGATATGTTAATGCAGACTAATAGTAAAATTAACATATTTATTTGTCTATATTTGATTTGAATTCAATGTTCTATTGTGTAGATATGCCAGAGTGTATATCCTTTATATGTTTGGTAGTATATTTTTCATAGATCTTAGTGGGATGTATATGTTCTTGTTCTATCTACCATTGCTGGAGGACTTTGAATCCATTCCACTATATAATTGGGGTTCATACATTCTTGCATATTTGTATAGGCATTAATGTTAAGTTAGTTTGGAGAAAACAAAACAAGTTAGGGAATGCTTATTACTTTTATATGTAAAATAAATTTAGTAAGTTTTTTTATCGCTATATTATTTTTTATGTTTAAGTTGGTTACTAATTGTTGTATTTTTTTTATATAAAGTTATGGTTATAAAAGTATTTACACTTGGGGCAACCATGAATTGAGTTCGAACTTGTTATATCTGTTTAGGTTTTGAAGGTTGAGCTAAAACTTTCATGAGAATACATGCAATACATTATTGATAATACAAATTATGTTATCTAGATTAATAATATTTTTTATATAAAAACCGTATTTAATAAGTTTCATTGCTTATTTATTAACAGATGTGTGAAAGTAGATATTTTGAAAATAATCCAACCTATATTTTGTCATTTTATCATCATGAGATAGATAGAAAACAATCAAATCAGGTATGTTATAATAAATTGCAATGTTGATGTTAAAATTAATGTTGAAAAATGAAGAGATATATTTTTCTGATGTTGGAAAATATTGAGAAGTAATATTGAAAAATAATTGCTTGCTTTAATGTTGAAATTTCTTAAAATTGCAAATTGTTGAGAAATAATTGCATAAATTGATGTTAGTAAATGATGAAAAATAATTACATTATTGATGTTTCAATATGTTGTAAGGAATTCTCATTCAGAAGATGATATGTTAATTGCTCCTGTTATATGCACATTAGCTATAAACTTACGCTATAAACTTATAGATATTAATTCTCCTCCTCATATTTTTTTAGCTTATTAAGATACTTTGTCCAAACTATATATGCGATAATTTAGCTTTAAGCAACACATTCTGTCTGACATAGATATAAGTGATCAATTACATTTCATTAGTAGTTTAAGTAGGTACATGATTATAATTAGATGATCCACCATCTCCAACATATATCGATATGCATCTTGTGATTTACAAGGAGGAATACATAGGTTGATACTTTAGTATAACACACTAAATTATTACACCAAACCCAACGCAGGTTCCTTCGTGTGAGTAGATGGATATGAGCCACATGCATGTCGGATCCAAATTGTTGTAAGTATTTGTTGCTTTTTATAGGTTTGGACAGAACAATTACATTTTATTTATGAATTAATAACTTCTATTTGCTTCATATTAGGTTGGACAATTGTTACATGATAATCGATGTGTTACAATTGATCTTTGTGATCTCGATGATGATGATGGACTTATTTATTATTATGCATCTTCTTGGTTCGAGACATGTTGTACTACATTTAACACTTTAAGAAAAATATTGAGCCTAGAAGATGTTGTCTTAGGGGATGAGACCACATAAACAAGCGAAAATTATGCTATTGATGAAGCCGATTGATCCACTTGTTATCGCAAAAGGCATAGATAGGCCCATGTGTATTATTATATTATATTATCTTTTTTAGTTATGATTTATTTTTATTATTTTTATTTTTATAATATTATTTTAGCGAATTATCATGTTGATTTTAATATTATTTATTTTCATGCTTATTTTAAATAAAAATAATTTAAAATCATTAATTAACATGTGAACATCATGAATATATTTTTTAAAATCTCAAATTATTTATTTACAAGTTAAAAAATACACTTAGTTATGTTTTGTTATTGCTGAAGACATGAATGTCATGTTTAAAATTCAATGAGAAAAGAAAATATTTGACAATAAGAAAGCTAGCAGAAGGGTACTTAAAAGAAAGAGAAAAGGAGATAACCGAAGAGAATATCATGTCAGTCCGATTTATTGCTGCGGGACCTTGATTTGAATGTTTGGGCCGACCCAGACCATGTCTTTTCTGAGGAGGAACGAGAAGGAAAAAAACCCCACAAAGAATAAAATTCTTGTGAAGCAGAAATCAAGTTTGCATGATCCTCTATTCTCGATGTTGCCTGCTAGCTAGCTCATGGACGCCGTACTTTTTTCTACTTTCTCCTTACCACCGCTTACCTTTCTGAGGATCAAGCACACATGCATCTAGAACACAAAAACTTCAGATCTTTTCATCTTTCAGGAAAAAATATTCCATTAATTACTTTGTTCCTTATAGGCAGTAACAATTGTTGGACCGAGAAATTAAGCACCCACAAGCCTGCATATGCCTGTGAGCCTGCTTGTTTGTTTTACATTGTATTGGATTCCTTGTTGGGTAATTAATGAATAACCCATGGCTTCTGTGCAGTTCAAAGAAGTATCAGAGCTTATACTTGCTTCCAGCTCTAGGTAAAGTAGCATAGAAAGCTGTGAAACTTTATGGGAAGTCAAGCCCTTTCCGGTAAGCGAGCCCTTTCCTTTTCTTTTGAACACCTTTCCATTCGATTAAGGTTTCATAGTTTCTAATCAAGATATCACATCATATATTGATATTTAAACAAGTAATAATCTTGCTAGCTATCCCGATGTCTGACCACTTAGCTAGGAAATTAAGGAGGAACAAGGGCATGTACAGGGAGGCCATATAGTTTTTTCTTAGCCATATCGTATCATCGAGCAGTGAAGCTGGCAATTGAAGCCCTTCCTTTTTGTTAACCCAATAAATGACGTTTTGGATTTTTCTTTTTTTTTTTTAAAGAAAGGTTACAAATTGTAACTTTGAATAAAACATAAAAGGGAGTGTGATATTATCTTTTAATAGATTATCAAATACTTAAATGTTACAGTCGCATTCACAATTAAATTGGTGATTCTCAGATAGACACTAATTGATCAAGACAAGTATAATTGTAGACAATTCAATTTATATTCTTAAAACTATAGGTTTTAATTCCATCTAAAGAATGCTGCTAGCTTCATTGGAATACAAGCAACAAAACTAATTAACTTCAGAGGATTGCTTGAGGAGGTTGGCTCTCTTTCTTAATTGTCAAATCTTATCTAAATATTATTCTCATGAATTCCTAGTTCCGGCACATCATATATATATATTCACACACACACACACACACATATATGATCATAGCAATCTCTCTATAAACAAAAACTAGTTCGAGAGTACAAGCTAGCAGTAAATTCCAACGAAGAAAAAAAAAAGAACACAAGAAAACCAGTCTTTGATGAATTAAGAAACTGTATTAAAGATTAAGGCATGAAAGAGCTTGAAAGTTTTTAATTTTGTGATTTATTTCTTCTATCAAGTACAAAAGTATCAATAAAATCAAACAAGCACTTACTGTGTTAACATAACCTTACTAAAGTGAAACTCTAGGAATCTAGCTGGTAACTTCTCAACATTAACCCGATAATACTCTATTACAGGCTCAAAATCCCAGTCAAAAACCTTAATCCGTATTGCTCTATGAGTGAAAGTTTCTCCGGTGAGAAACAATTTTATGCTGCATGCATGTGTTGGCCACAAACTGCATACTCTAATAAATTCAAGGATATGCATATGCTTACATTTTTGAATGTATACTATAATGCTATATAGAGCACTAATTAATAGCTTTTCTTTAAGAAGTTTAAACAGTAGCGATCACTTTCATGAAAACTTGCAGCACCTGTACAAGTGCTTCTAATATCTTACTGCCAAAAGATGCATGGAAGTCAGTACCACAACTTGATATATCTTGATTTGTGTATTATTGTAATAAAACTGATTCTTAACACAAAAAGTTTAAGATTTTCAATCATTTGGCTGCCGCTTATATAAATTTTTAATTTTCTTTTCCGACACAAGTATGGGAGAAAACAATTAATATATATAAGACCATTGACCAAGCTTTTATTAATGTGCTGAAAATGTTGGACTATACCACAAGATTTTCATTTCCAGCCCTATTTTTTGCTCATTTGGCTTTCCATAGATGCATACCGAGTCTTAATTAGTTCGAACTTGTTCATCCAATTGTATGTTTTTTTGTGGAAAGTTATCCTAGTCAGCTGACCATAAACTACCATCTTATAATGAATTTAGAGGAGAAATCGGGAAAATTTTAAAATCAAGCATCTTCTCCATATAAAGATTGATACTACTTTTTTGATATTGATGGTGGAAAATATAACAGCCTCAAATATTCCAAATAAAGCTGAATCATCTTTTTCAGTGACAGAGAGCAAACTGGAGCATATACTTTATTTATTTAGTTTTTCGCACTCGGATAGAAACAAATGGAAAGTATAGAAGAGATAAATACTTACAAATAATATAAACATCACAAATTTTTAATCTCATGGAAGAATGTAGGAATAGAAAGAGGACTAGGGTTCTTCAGTCATCCAAAGTGGTAGAAAGAGTGTAATGAAGAAATCAAATTAAAAATAACCACAGTATTTTTTTTTATTTTTAGAATGAGATAATTAAACCCAAGTAATTGTAACTTGACTGAGAATCTCAAGCTTAGTTACGAGTTAATGCAATACAATTGTAATACAAGAAGAAAATGAGGTTATATTTCATTGTGTTCTACCGAAGATATCAAGAGGAAAAGTGCTTGTTCATGGTAGTAAATAGCAAATACCACCACCGGGGAAAAAACCCAGAGACACTTTCTCAACTATTTTGAGATTTACATGCAGTTATGAACATTTTTCTTCCATAGAAGGAAAGCAAGGGATGTCGTCATGCATCAAGACAAGATCCATGGAAGAAATCCTTAGAGATCACTGAAATCACAAGTCTTTAGTTAACAATTAATGGAGAAAGGGATAAGAAAAGGTGAAGATTTTACAAAGCTCAACTGCAAATGGTTTAGACAAAATTAAACATGGTATGCTAAAATGAGAAGGGTCCCTTTTTTTGTTTCCAAATTTGGCCATGCTTCAAACCTCATCATTGAACAACAAAATCATATGAGGACAAATGAATATCATAGTAATAGGAATCGTGCTTCACTTAGTATATATAGATGATAAACCATACAAATTACGTGCTTTATAATACATAAACTGACTAATTTTCAGTCACATCTACATGAAAATCACACACCATATGCTAGTACAACACTCTTCGAATTTAACAGCGACGGCCGGGAACTTAATCCCTTATTTTAGACGGTATTTAATTTGAAATCCACACAACATTAAAGGTAGACAAAGTTTGGAGAAACAAACATCACTTATCTCCAAACAGGTACCCCAGAGATGAATCCCCTCCGGGCACTGATTTGACTTTTGTAGACGGACGATCCTGAAAAAAATCATGAAGGAGGTGAATTATCATACATATGTGGCAGATAAAAATACTTGGTGAATGTATGTCCCTACATGAGGAGGACAACTCACAGTAATAAAGTTTCCAGTATTGTGGTCTTGAGCTCTGTGATAATTGTTGGAGACCTCCTTCTTCTCAGCCGAACCACTATCCGGTGGCTTCTCTACGGTAATGTCAACCCCATATGGTGGTAGGTTAACCGGGCGCAAAGGCGGAGGTGCACTTGGCTGCTCATCAGAACCAAAAAGGTAACCCAAAGAGCTCTGCCCGCCGCCGTAGCTCCCACCTCTACTCATGGCTTCTTATATAATTAATGATCAAGATCTGCAAATGACTCAATTACAAAGAAGGGAGAGAAGAGGAGAGAACCCTAATACACACACACACACACCAAGTTAGTGTTATGTAGCTGGAGATATGTTTACCTAACATAGGTATGCTGAATGTGTGTTTGGATGTTGATTATGATACACATACATCATGACTATTTAGTCATCAATGCTCATTATTGCACACCAAGACCGAATTAACCAGGAGCACGTCATGTACTGTTACTTTTTTCATAAAGGGGGCGTATGATTCTTTTTTAGCCTCGCTAGTATAAATATACATGGATGATGTCATTTGTCAGGGACAATTTACATCAACAGAAGCATAAAAAAAATACAAGATTCTATGATAATCTTCCAAGGATGTATATAGCAGCAGTTCAATTATAATCTTCCCTCATGCCAAATTAAGGAACTTCATTCAAGGTGTGTTTTGCTTAGAGTTTGTATTGTAACTGTGGTTATAGCTATATATATAGTTTATTTATGGTAGTTGCAATGATAATATTTGGTCACAAAAATACATGGTTGAAATAGAGATGGTTAATAATATGTAAATAATAATAATAATAATAATAATAATAATAATAATAGAAAACACCACCTTCATAGTAATTCTCCTATCTTTTAGTTTATTATCTGATCTGCTACGGGCTACGAGCCTATGCCTATGGTATAATTAGTCTTTCTCGAAAAGTAAAAATAAGAAGTGCTAGCAAGATTAAAGGAATTTTTTCTCATTTCAACCACTAAAAACTTGTACTTCAAATTCGACAAGAAGCTGACAGACATAGATATGGATGCTACTGATCATCAGGCAGGCTTAGAAGTTTCCTACCGGAGTCTAGTACACAAAAAAATTGTTATGGCCTGGTCTTCAATTGTATCTCTACAAGCAATGAATGTCATCAACATTAAGAAACCTTAGCTAGCATAATGCTCCACGTGTTTACCCGACTTGAATCTTACATTACATGGAGTGATGAAATTGTTAATTAAAATTTTACCTTAAGATTTTTCAGAAATACATAAATATATCAAATTAATTAGCTCTAGAAATGCAAAATACACCCCCCCTTGTAATTCAATATATAGTTCTTGGACAGAGCTACAACTTCATTATTATTATTATTATTATAAAATATTTTTCAATTAACTGTCATTCTTAGAGATTAAACCAAAAATATGTTATGACTTAAAATTCATGATTTTTTTTTTTTACAATTTAATCTAAACTTATTGATAAAAAGAGTTATATTTAGTTTTTGATTAGCAGATTTAAACTTACAACTGTGTTATCCCTTATCTCACTATTAAATTTAACAATTTTATTAACATAAATTTTTATTGGTATTTACACACACACAGAGTACATTAATACATATATTATTACAAACTCATGGAGAGAAAGAGTTTGTAAAAAAAAAAACTCTTATTAATAATTTATGGTTTGTTTGAGAGTTCATCGATAATAAATATACCGATGGATTTATAAATGGACATAGCATGCTAAAAATAAAAATTCTACTTTATTTCGTTAGTATCTCCATTGGTAAATTTAACATATTATTGATATGAATACTATATGTAATGTCATTGGAGTTTTTATTTGTTCGTTGATATATCTATCAGTAAATATAACATACTATTGACAAAATATCATCTATAATTTCATCGGTGAGTTAATAGTAAAGGTGGAATTTGCAGTAATTTTTTTTTAACTCTCTCTAGAATATACTGACAAAGTTATTCCATCGCTAAACCTGTTAGTAATATTTTAAATATATATTTTTAAAAAATATAATATATTTTTTTAAAAAATATATTTAATAGAAGTAGAAAAATAATTAAAATCAAATAAAAATAAAATATTTATTATAAATTTAAACATTTGTACATTTAAATACAATAAATCCAAAACAGAGAAGGCGCTAAAGGAGAAAAAAACCGGTCATCACTAGGATCATGGGTTAGTTAAGAGTGCATATGCATTACCCATATGTGATCTTATCTTTAATACCAATTGGTAGAGTTTTTCGTAATCAGCAATGAGTCGTTCATATTTTTCATTAAGATAGGTCATCTGAGCATGTACTTATTAGTCTAAAATCGTCATGAAGTCCAGATCATAGTTATCAAACCTAATCAAGGGGCTGGGTTATGGGTTACATGGGTTGACACCTAAAAAAATTAAAAAAAATATTTTTGTTTTTAATATTTCATATGAAAAAATTAAAAGCAAGTCATGAGGATAAAGGTTATATATGTTATAAATAATAAAGTTTAAAAGATTATTTCAAAAGCTTTTTTAATCCCATATTAGAAAGATAATATCTTATTTTTTTAAGTTAAAGTATTTAAACCAAAATGATTTTTTATCTTACATTGAAAAAATATAATTTTTTTCTTGTGAACATAAAATATTTATACTAAAAGGCTTCAAATCTCACTTGAATTTACTAAAGAGCTTCTAATCTCACATTGAAAAAATAAAATATTTTTCTAATATTTATATAGTGAACTTTGGAATAGGTTAGTAACCAACTAAAAACTATATAAAAAAGAGGTTTCTAGTTAGGAGGAAAAATACTTTTAAAAAAGCAGGTCTTTACTGGATTTTACCAGGTTACCTGAGTCCTAGGTTGACTCGATAGGTTAGGCCAGGTTTGATAACTATGCTCTAGAGTTTGAGTGCTCGAAATTGATTACGAGTATTCAATGGTTAAAGCACTATGAGCTCTATAAGGTCAGGCTCACGTTCAAGAATTGTAGTTACAAGAAAAAAATGTTATCAGTTATATATGCATGTGTGTGTATTTTCCATCTGCTTCGCATGTGAAACGAATCAAACAAAGATTGGTGTGCATGATAATGGGACTATGAACACGTCGGTTTTGATTTTTGCACCAAATTGTGATGGTCGCATGAAATATGCTTATGTGACACACTGAATGTATTCTGTCTATATAGTTTTTGACATGTACTTTAGTCTGAAATCCTTCCAAATCGCCACATCATTCCATCCTAGAAGCTCTCTTTCTTTTCTTATATTTTTTGGTTTCTTTTATACCTCGTACCAAAAATCATGCAACCTATATGATACAAATTAATTATTTGTTAGTAAATAAAAAATAACATTTTAATATTTGAAATAAAAAATTATCCTGAATTCGATCTTATCTAATTATAGTGTGATTCTTTCCAACCCTCCTCATAACATTACTTTTGGCTCTCTGTCATTCAAATCTCCTATAGTCTTTACAATATGCCGATAAACACATTTTATCAGTATACATGTATGTAATGAACATCATAAATAGTGTTTGAGAGAAGGGGAACAATTCCCATAGTCACTAAAATATACTGATGGACACATTCCTTAAGTATATTTGCATGTAATATACAATTTATCATTATTTCCATTAATATCAAACTATATATTTGCATGTAATATACAATTTATCATTATTTCCATTAATATCAAACAATATCTAATGTTAAATTGTATTTGTATTCCTTATGTATTCATCCTATAAATACTTAAATTCACAACTGAACATATAACATAATAACATCAGTTCACATCACAATAATAAAATAAATATTTTCTTATCATTCAATAATAAATTAATATCATTTACATTATATTGAAGCGAATTTCTTTCATAAATATTTACATTATAGTTTATGGCATTACACATTCGTGTTGTGCAAATTAATTAGAATTGTCTTCCTCTTCCATGTTAATTCCATCATCATCATCTTTATTGACTTGTGTATGTCTACAGGAGTTCAAAACATCATTCAATTTATTAGCATCAATATTAACAAAAATATTCTAGGCAATGCAAAATTTTGAATTTTCTTCCAAATCATTAGATGAAATAACTTGATATAGATCAACTAACTCACCAAGTTGAAAAAACATCATCTCTTATAGTTAATTCATTGTTGCCATCCTAAACAATCTCGATATGACTTCTAGGTTTGGTTTTCACCATGGATAACAAATGAACTCTTGAACAATCATTTCTAAAAGAATGGGTGTATGTGTAATAAACTTGTTGGCATTACTTGACCAAACTATGATGAAGATCTACTTTAATTCCTCTGTCAGTGGTGTCATACCAATAATATTTGAATAAAAATACTTTGTTATGCTTACTATGATATTACAATTCAATAACCTCTTCCAACTTTCCATAATAATAAACTTCAAACTCATTAGAATTAGTCCCTTAACACAAACCCTAATGTTATTTATCTTTCTACCCTACTTATATTCTTCAGTATGAAACATATATCCATTAATGAAATACCGTTATAGCATTTTAACTTTCTTTCATGACCCAGATTTAGTAAAGACAACGTAACATCAACATTCCATCCCAATTGATAAACTTGATACATGAAGTACAACCATGAACATTTAATGAGAAATATATAATGAAATTAAATATCCTGAGAGATGAGAATAATTGAACACTACTTATATATGTTTTGAACCATATGAAAAAAATGTTCATCTTATAATCAAAAGATTTAGG